CCTATACTGATTGACAAAATATATTTTGGTCACTCAGTTCCCATTGTGTGCTTAATTGCTAGCCATTTGTAGCAAAGCACTTGTCCCAGGGACGGCCACAATGCCCCTTGGTGGCTGCTTGGCCTATGCTCTGCCCCCATTTCTCAGGCTTGCTCCCCTTTACCTCATCTGTCACACCTGGCTGTTATTTGATCCTTGGAAAGGGAAGCTGCTCCAAGGAGCCAATGCTGCTGTTCAGGTGTCACTACTCAGTACCTTAAGGGCTTATTATGTAGGTCCAACCATGCCAAAGCCTCACAGAGGTTATCAGCTAATACCACTCCTATGCATATGCTGAGACCTGCAGTCTCTTGTGCCATCAGCCTTCCTGGCCCACTCCTGGGCTCAGGCCACTGCCTGTTTGCCCATACCTGGGCACTTCACCTGTTCTGGTTACATCTAGATACCTAGTGACTCCTGGGCACCAGATCCTCCTCCTCCTCCTCTCCCACAGGCACCAGACCTTCTCTGTTCCCATCTCCACTCTATTCCCAAGCCACTGGCCCTGCTGCCAGGCCTGCTGAGACCACCAGCAGCCTTCATTTCAACCCCTAGACCACCAGTCCTAGCTCTATGGCTACCTTCTCTTAACTCCAGGGAATGCAGAGCCTCTGTCTGCTGCTTGCTCATGAGCCCCTTCCATGCCAGTAGCCAGGATGAGACTGCCTGCCCCTGCTCTGGCCCTGAGCTTATCTCTGGTTAAGCCCCACCCCTTCCTGGTCAGGTGCCGACTCAGCTCCTTCCAGAGCCCTCTCCCTTCTTAAAGTAACAGGTACGCATGCTTCATTCCTAATGCATGTCCCAAACACCTCCATTTTCTTTTCTGGATAACTTTACAGATGAAGTACCATTGAACTTCCTAATTAATTTTGTCACGTTATAAAATTTGTTCCATTTAGTACCTAGTATGTTTCTGAGGTGTTTGCTTTAAAAGGTATTTAGAGATGTCATAGCTTTCATCTCCAGTTGTGAAAGTGGGAAAAACATTTGAGTTGCAGCTTCATAGTCTTTAAGCTTTGGTTTTCATTGAGCAAATCTTGTTCAAGATGGTGATGGCAGCTGTCACCTTTCTAATTCATGACATTGTTAGCTTATAGATATCCCCATTTGTTTGCACACTGTTGTCAGAGTGAATTAACTCATTTATTTTATTCTTTTGCTATCTAAAGTCATACTTCTGCTTGGATTCTCATTAGATTTCGAGTTTTTTTCTGTAACTGGTTTTTAACCTTGTTTTTTGTGATTAGCTAGACGGTCTTCTGATCATTTCTGAGTTATTACTTAGAGGAACTATCCTGTCAGCAAGATCTAAATCTTCTAGTTTAGATTTTATTAAGCCGAGCACTTCCTGTACTGTGCGCTCTATCCTACTTCTCATAATGAAATCAGTGGTAATGCCGAACAGGAAAGATGAGAAAAATACCTTTTTTTTTTTTACACCAGTATCTGGGTTAAACCCTTCACTCAGGTCTTCATTTATAATTTTCCCAGGCTCCTTTATAAATTGTATGTTTCATTTCTTTGTTTGTAGAATGCTAGACTATTTCCAGGTGTTTACTTTCTTTACCAAAAAGTCAACTTTTTTTGTTTTTGTTTCGCACTTCGCTCATGTTCTTTGTTTTCTGTTGTTAAAGTCTTGACTCATTTGTCCTTAACAGGCCATCCAGGTTGTGTAAACCTGCAAGAACCTTACTTAAACACCTGAAACTCAAAATTGCCTCTTTCAGCAACTGCTTTGGGGCATGGTCTGTTTCAATGGCTGTCAACCAGGGTTCCATAAGCTCCTTTCAAGGGTGCTATGATGTGGGGATGCCTTATTCCCCCTCCCCCCTGCTGCGTGGCAGCCACTACTTTAACATTTGCACAGCCAAAGTAAGTTCTTTACAGCCATGATCTACATGAAAATTGGTGGCAGCTGTGAGAGGGTTAAGGCAGTAGAGAGTGAGAGCCTCCAGCCCTGGATGAGGTAAGACTCTGCCTGAACACCCTTCCCCCCTGTTCTCCTATGCTCAGCACAGTCACCTCAGTCTCTCATCCATTCTCCTTTCCCTTTTCAAGGCACAGAAATAACTAATTACATGTTTGGGATGCTGGGTTACTCCTTGATTTGGCATCCTTTGAAGTGGCATAAGCCCTGCCAATAGTTTTTAGTTTATTCCTTCTTTTATTTTATCTATATCTGTGACAACAAATGGAAGCAGGATAAAATCCTAAACACACTGTATTCTGGTCAAATGCTTGCTGTATTAGGCCAGTTGTTCTCAACTAGTGTGCCACAAAATTCAGGAAAGTTATGAAGGGGCCTTGAGCCTGAAAAGTTTCCCCTTGATCTACATATTTCTTTTTGCTTCACAGTGCTTTTTGTTTTACAGTTTTTTTTTGCTGCTTCTCTTTCCAGGGACACAGAGATACTCGTTCTTTCATACAGATCTGCATACCTTGGCTTATGCCAACTTTGAGTTTATGTGCCTGGCACCAGTTACATTTTTTGCAGCACCTGATGTATCAGTGTTGACTTCTTGCAATGGATCCAACTCTTGTAACACCCAAAATTATTAGGGCTCCAATAGATACAGGTGTGTAGGTCTGACTGAGTATTACCTTTTCGTAGGGAGTAGAGTCCCACCTGCAGAACAAAGAATGGCTAGTTGTTTTTGCAAATAAGCAGCAGTGTAGACAGATAGATGTGGAACTAGCCAAAACTATGTTCTGGGCAATGGTAGTGATTCATGGAGCAGGGGTGGGGACTAGGGAAATATCAGTGGCAAAAAAGGAGGTAACGTATTGAGCAACCAAAAATGCTGATTTTTGGCAGCAAAAAAGGAGGTGACACCTCTGATCTGCACAGCAGAGAGTCCCAGGTTGCTGCCCTTGAATTATGTACTATTTCTGCTGTTCTATCCCCCCCATTGCCAGGATGAGTCAAAAGTACTTCAGGGGAGGTGCAGGGTGTGTGGGGAGGGATGGGAGACTGAGTGTTCCCTGCTTAGGCAGAACCCAGGGCTTGTGTCCCATTTGCCCAGCCATTGTTGTACTACTCAGTGGAATGCTATCTGAAAAATGCAGTTATCTAAAGCCATGCTGGTAATTTTGAATGGTGCAGTGAAAGGTGAACTTTGTGATTAATTCTAACGAAAGCCAGTGAAACCTATGCTCTATGCACAATGCACAAACAAACTGCTATAGACAGCACTGTTGTAGAGAGCTGTTTTTCATATACCCCACCTATAAACTCAGGTTTCTTTCATGCCTGGAACCCAACTGTATTTGCCTCAGAAGGTGAAAATTCCAACTACATTTTAAACTCTAAAAATTACTTTAAATAGTTTTCCTAGGAGAAGTATTGCTGTTTTAAATCCTACTAGGACCTGCAAAAAGGGTACTCGGCCCCACTGGGAAACAAAAAATCTACCACTAAAATATGCAGCAGTGCTGATGCAGTATGTTTTGAGGCAGGAAGAAAAAGCTTCCATCACCTAGATGGGAAGCTCCCCATTCCTTCCTTGGCACAGGAAAGCAGCTCCTTACAACAACTCCCCATTCCTTTTTGATGTCAAGTTAGTTTGTTATATATGTGCAAGTAGCTGGTTTATCTATTATCTATAATCTGACATGAATTCACGACTTAGTGCTATTCCTCTTGCAACTCCGACTGGAGTAATTATGGCAGGGAGAAGGGGAGGAGAAGGGGAATGAAACCTTTATTTTTCCCTTAGCATGGCAGCCTGCTTGAAGGTGCTCTTAGGTGGGACATGTTAGTGGTAGTCCCAGTCCTGCCCAGTGCTACATCCTGAGATAATACAGCATGAAAGTGTGACTTTCACAGGATAGATTTCTCCCTTGTACAGTGCGCTGAGGCCCAGAGAGAGTCTGTCCCTTGGAGCTGAAGATCCTGGACACATGGGATTTTGGGGCTGTCTCACTACTCAGGTCCATCCCAGAACTTTGGACCTCTGAGTCACCTGTCCCAGGTCAGTCTGGCTGTGAGTCAAAAATGCCGAGTGCCCTCCTTCTAAATAAGGCCTGGTTCCTGGCTTCACAGCAAAGAGCCTAGATGCCCAAAGGACTGGAGAGAGAGCTCTCAGCTCCCTATTGCAGAGCTGAGAACCTGAGCCTAGGGTAGGCTGCCAGGGTCTGTGGATCTGGGGCAGCAATTCAGTGAGGCTGACAACATTGTCTTTGAATTCCCAATGCATGGGAAAAGTTGCAAACATTTACGTTTGGTCCAATTTGGACTAAAAAAAATATGGAAAAAACAAAATTTCCTGTCAGCTAGAAACCCCATTTTTTTCAGCTAGTTCTAGTTCACTTACAAGTTTGCTGTGATTTTTATAACAGGGTCTGATAAAGGTGTTACCATCTGCTTCCAGAAAGCTAGCTGTACTTACAGACCTGTTGTCAATGATGGACACCCAAAGGTTACTACAGGATCGATGTTTCAGAGATACTAAAGACTCGAGCCCTTTGATTAGGTGCCTGAATATCAATTTAGAACCTATTTTAAGGACTCTGTTCTGAAAATCTCAGACATAGTACTGTCTTGGCCTTCGATATGGAGAATTAATAGGGTGGTCAGAGAAAGAATGGTTTGTTGCCCTTTTAACCTTCCTGGAAAACATTTGAGATGGTGCCTTATTTTTCTCAGGCCAGAGAGAGCTTTAGATTTATATAAAGCTTAGCATGGCATCCCAGCTCATTGGTGAGAAAAGGTTCAGGGACAAAAATACCTTTATCTCTAAGTATCAAAGTTCAAAATGTCCTTTAAGTACTAAAAGGTATCAAAGGCATCATCCTTCTTTGATACCTTTACTACTTAAACGTTTTAAATTAAGTATTCAATTGGAACTTATACAAATCTGTGTATGTGTAGGTAACATTTCAAACTGAATTTATGCCCATGATGTTACTTTAATAATCCATAGTTATCATTTCCAACAAAACTGCACAAGACACATAAAACTTACAAGAGAATTAAAGAGCTTCTTAGAAAAATAAAACATAGTAACATTTTGCCAACACTTTGAATGTTTTTATTCATGTTTGAACTTGGGTAAGGAAAGGTTCCCATGCTATAAATTTTATTAAAAACAAGTCATTAGAAATAAATAGTACATTTACATTAATAAATAAACAAGCAGTTTTTACACACACTAATACAGGATTTTCTATTATAAAATTGAAATGAGTTCCACCATTTTTGTTGTATTTGTACCTGCTATAAAAGGATATAATTTCAAATTAACTTTTTACTGATTTGGTTTTCATGTGTACTCAAGTGAGCTGCACAAAGAATTTTCAACTATTTCCCTTTGAAAAAATAGTTATATCTGGAACATGTTCTTCTATTCTGCTTATTAATTTTGGATGTAATAAATGAACCTAAATAGTGCAAAAAGTATCATGGTAAATATAAAGTTTGAGACATTGGCTGTCTTTTTGCGCTTGATCATGAGAGTAGTTGATTAGTGTGAAAAAGATAAATATGCTTGTACAGTAGAAAGATTTGATAATACCAGTTTGGTTAAAATAAAAGTACTTTGTCTGTTATTTTTCCTAGCAGTGTGAAAATACTTTGACTGGTTTCTCAAATACCAGGGAAGCAGAACTCCTCAATACTATTCTCCTTTCTATTTTCCAGTTCATTCTGGTCAAGCTGATAGTACTCGAATGTCACACGATTGATATGTTTGCCACTGGAAACCATTCGTAGTACAGTGTTGTCACAGCCAATCTTCATTTGGGCTAATCAATTAAAAAAAAAACATTTTACATTAGCGTTAGGAATTTCTAAGTACAGATCTCTCATAGATATAAGAGTTTGCGAATAAAGTGGCTGAACGTATATACTCTTTATCCAGAAACAAAAACAATATGGTTGCAATGCATCACCCAGTGTGTTCCATTTACTAACCCTAATACCATGTGTCAGTCCTGCCTGGTCCCAGGTTATGTCTAGACACCTGTGCATGAAAACCCTGCACCACTCATCCGGTCCACAACCTAGAAAGGCTGGTCATCACTGCTTTAGCATAAACCTTCCTGACATGAAAAAGCAATACAGGTATTTCCCTCAGGTCTGCCTGTTCTCTTGGGCTGGACCGTGTTCCTGCCTGCTGCTCCTTTTCTGGTATTCTGCCCTCTTAGGCAGCAGGACTCCCTAGCCTCTCTCCCATCTATCCAGTGCAAGGATTCCCTCTGAGGGGAAGTGCATTTGGCTGAC